GCCCCGCCCCTCCTGCCGACCTGTGGCATCCTGGGGCCAGCAGGGTAGGGGCCACAGCCCCTGGCAGCTCTTCATCCCCACGGCATCCCCATTCTGGAACCCGTGACCGCGCCACGCCCTGGGCCACCCCGGCCATGCCCCATCCTGCCCCAGCCAGGGGCACATGCCAGTGCTGGCCAGGGCATTGCTGGGCACCCCAGGTCTTCCCAGGCCACCTGTGCTCCCCACAAGAGAGGGAGGTGGGGCAGGCAAAGGAATTTTACCTTCTAAATCATCGATGGTTTTCTCCAGCTTCGCCACAGACCGCTCGGCAAACTCTGCTCGGGTCTCAGCCTGCAGGAGCACGGAGGAGACAGGGTGAGTTGCAGATCCACAGGGCAGAACAGAGGTGTCTTCAGCCAGTGTGGGCTGCACCAGACCCCAAACCTGCCCCTCCTGCATCTCCTTCCACGAGCTCGCACCTGGGCTCATTGTTGGAGCTGGCGAGTAAATGGATTTGCCTCCATAGTGGGGTTCAAGAGCTTATTTTGACTCTGCTTTGCGTTATTGGAAGTGTGGGCAGTGTTGGCGATGCCCCCATGAAAGGCTCCTGTGCAGCCCACGGGAGCCAGGCCACGATGCTGCTTTGCATTAGACCGCGCCCAAGAAGGGCAGCATCTTTAGCGCCCTCCTCAAAGGAGGCACCTGGGCAAAGCACCTTCTTGTAGGACATCTCGTTCATCCCAATCTATTGGAAGTGAAGAACTCATCAGAGACCACACGCTTCACCACTCGTGTGCAACCAAGGCTGCAGGGATCACCGCTAACCCAGTGTGGCTTGAAGTACAAGTGTGCAGGGCATGAGCTGCAGCCAGCACACGTACCCCAAGCATGACACCAGGGATGCTTCCCCGGAGGGCTGCAAGAGGGATTTATGCAGTGCAGCCACAGCGAGGGAAAACAAGAAGGAACCTTTCAGTTGAAGGTCAGGCTGTGCTAATGCTCTACCTGGCCCAGAGCCCTTCTTCCTAGTCTTTGTGGTAACCTCCAAGTCTTCTTTCACTACAAATCAACCATTAATAAATTAATCTTGTGTCTTTTCCAACGCCTTGTCTTTTTTTTTTTTTTTTTCCAAGGGCTGAGCTGGCACTGTGGGAGCTGAGGTGAGTGGTGCTGCAGGAGCAGAGTGCAGCACAGGGCTGGGGGACAGCGGGGTTGGAAAACGTTTCCTAATGGGGCTTTCCCTGCTCCTGCCAAGGGGATCTTCCCCAGGGACACAAGTGTTAGCCCCCCCAGAGGGTACAAGGAGACATCCCAAGGGCAGAGAGACCCTGTTGGAGCATCCCAGAGCCAAGCACAGGGCATCTTACCTGCCAGGCTCTCTCCTTACCTCCTTCAGTTTTTCCCCTAGAAGCTTGATTTCCTCCTCGTACTTGTCCTCCTTGGTGGAATACTGCAGAGAGAGAGGGCACCTGTAAGCCATGCGGCATGGCTGCGGCTGGCAGGCACCCCGGCCCCCCAC